CCTTTGTTATACAGAATTGTAATTTAGCTAAATTGTTATATCAATGAAATTTTATTGGGACTGTTATGTGTAAACATTGAAATTCTGTCACGTATTTTTAGTTATCATATATAGTTTACAATGATTTTGTGTTAAAGTACCTTTGAAAATAGGTATATAGGCTAGATCAGTCTGCAGACTGAAGTACAAGTATTTAAATTTAGGCCAGTACAGAAAGTATTAATTCTTTTCATGTTAGTGGCATATTGTTAAAGACATTGCATGATTTAATTTTGAAGTTGAACTGCATGTTTCCTAAGATTATCTTCTCTCTGTGAAAGGTCATTTTGAAATTCTGATTATGTGATGAGGTCTTGTTTACTTAAATGTTATGAATTTGTATTTCAGTGAATAATCCATTAGAAGAAGATGTCCAGATTCGTCCACATGGGTTAGTGGTCCATTCCTACAAGTCTCCCACATTTTGTGACTTTTGTGGGGAACTGCTGTTTGGCTTAATGCGTCAGGGTCTCAAATGCGAAGGTAATGATATGTGTTTCAAATATAAAATTAAGGACTTGTTTCATAATGTATCTCAAATGGGAAAATAAGGATCTGTGTCATATTGCATGTCAAATATGAAGGTAAGGATTTGTGTCATAATACATGTCAACTGTGAGAGTAAACATTTGTGACATAATGTGTCACAGATGTACATATCATAATATGTTCCAAGGGTAAAGGAGTTATACTGTGTTTCAAATGTGAAGGTTATTGGCTGGTAATTCCTGTTTCACCCTGTACTTAAGCTTTTTAAAGGAACACCAAATTTCTGTAAGAAAGCTGACTTCAAGGGGTAATGATAACATCGTTTACACAAGAATTACGATTTTTTAAAATTACTACTGGTTATTAATAATACTTAAAAAAGTGGATATTCCATTCGAAACTATGTCATCTCAGTGAAATTGGTTGACACCATTGTTTTGGTTTTTGAGTTATCATGTAATAAAAAAAGAAGCAGAAGAAAGAAGAAGAAGAAATTCAAACTTTTTGCTATGATATTTACAGAGATTTCCTGAAGTTGTGCCTCAGTCATTACAAGGATAGTTATAAAAGGAAAACTGAACAGTGCTGTAAAGTTATGATGACCTATTGAGAAGATATTTAAAATACCATTCCGATGAACAATCCGAGTCATCCCTACATAGGCAGTGCAACTGCCTGCCTGATAAGCTTGTACTTGCTTGGCCTTGTTTCCATATCTGTTTCTTAGACCGGCGTTAAGTTCATTTCAAGGAATGCAATACACTTGTATTAATTATGAGGTGCGATATTATCTTCCTTGTATATTTTTATTTTAGAACAATCGCTGATCTAAAAATTGTGGAATATCACACTAGAAGTTTGGTCTGACTTGAAATTGTGGTATTACATTATTCTTACATCAACCCTTGTCTTTTGCAGACGTGTATTATTCTATATACTGTATTACAGAAGTAAATTAGGAGCCATTCTGTAAAGCAGACACTTGCCAATAAATGGTTGGTTGGTTGTTGTTCAACACAGAGGTAAACAATGGGCTTTCTGTGATGTACCCACTACGCCTATCGAAACCCGGTTTTTAGTGATATAAGTCTTCAGACTTACCACTGAGCACTGGGGAGTGACCAGTAAATACACGTCACATAGTTGTATGAATAAAGGTTTTTGTTTTATTTGTACATTTATTCTTCCTTTGCTGTCTGTTTAAAATATTGTTCTATATAACATTTCTCGAACATGTATTTTGCGGATACTTGAACTTATCTGTTACACATCACTGTACATGAATACCTTCAGAAGCATACAGCCACCTGATCATCGCAACAAAAGAGAACCTAGTATGCGGAAGGACAAGTGTATTGATTTGTCGCCGGTGGAATGAAAGAGATAAGACACATCGTGAAGCAAACACGCAAAAAACACTTTATTAACCAACGTCGAATGCAGCCAGAAACAAAGGATAATCGTAACAAATGATACGAATTGTGAAACTAAAGTTGAAGAAACTGTTTCTAACTTAACTGTTATTGAATAAAGATAGAAAATGAAAAACAAACAACGTACTTACTGAAATAAACTGTAATAAAATCGAAAAAAAAAACAACAAACAAACAGTATTTCAAAACAAATTAGGCCTAAATTATTAAACGGGAATTTAATGTGAAACACATGGTCAACAAAATAACTGCTATATGGAACAAAGACACAAATCTGAATTCAGAGCATGCCTTGATTCCTTCAGTATTGGAAAGAATCTCCCAAAAGCACCAAAACCTCTCTCACAACCCACATTCTTTCTATAGCTACTCAATCACAATCAGGATCACTAGAATCAAGAAATATCCATGTGATGGTTGCAAAACAATCTCATGTTCAGGATGATGATGGATGTAATACAACTACCCCTTCAAACAGCAGATAACGTCTTCGACTGATTAATTCTATAGAGAATAACACATAGATATATGCTGTAAAATAATGGGTTGTGTGATATCTGCATACTATACACAGCCATATAACATAATAACTAGCTTTTATTAGGTTAAAAACAATAGAAAACCAGACACCAGACTCCTACACATTACTTAAATAATGATGATCATGATGCTACTCTTTACATATCACAAGAAGATATCCAAGTTAGATGCCAAGTATTCAGAAAACAGCAGTAGTTTCAACTGTGGGTACTATAGGTATAATGGCAAGTCCAAAAGTTTCTTCTTTTTGTTGAAAAACAAATTGTGGAATCCATAAAAAAGTCTGGCTCTTGTCACCAACACAAACAAAATCAAAGCAAGTGCATGTGCACTCTACCAAATTTTTTTTTTTTTTAATTTCTGGGACTACAAGATGAATGGTCATATCGATGAC